CATTGGAGTCAATAGAACAATAAGATAATGCAATAGGATAGAAACACTCCTCGATAGCTTCCCCCTTGGGATGGGTCAGGTGATGATTTGTGTTCTCACCTGGAGCATTCTCCTAGAATCCCTTCAGAGAGAAACCAGTAACAGAGAATAGAGCTCAGACCAAGAGAGGTGAGCAATTGCCCTCTGGTGTATTTGAATAACTATGAGAAGGGAAAAAGGAGAGGAAAAGTGAAATTTTCCCAGGGCCATAGCAATAGTAGGGAAGACTCTCAACTCAATTTCTCAAATATATTAAAAAAAATGTAACCACTCATTATGTATCTGTTCCTGTGGTCCCAGGCCTCAAGAACTTTACAGTATTAGAAAGAAAGGAAGAGCCAGAACTCACAGGAAATCGGTAAGTAACCCTACCATATACTAAGTGCCCAGTAAGTAGTGCAGACACTATGTGCTGTAGGAGACCAGAGGGGAAGAAAAAAAAAGACTATGACCAAGAGTAATTAGAGGATTCATGGGGAGTACAGACTTGAGCCTGGAATAAAAATAGGTAGGATTTTAATAGAGAGAAGGGCATTCTAGGAGCAGCAGGGCTAAGTAAGGAGACAGACTTGACTGAAGTAGAGAATGTGTGTTAAGAAATAGTGGGAAATAGGACTAGATGGGATAAGTAGAAGTCTTAAAAACCAGAGCGGAAAGGGTTAGACATTCCATTCTTTTCTTCAGGAGACACAATGCTGTCCAGGACTCAAGGACAGTATGGACAGGCATTTTCTCTGCTCTCTCCTCTTAGCCTCCTTAAAGGAATCAAGACTTTTTCATTGTTATTTCCTTACAACCTCTAGGGGGCAGGGCAGCATCACTAATAGTACAAATGCTTCCCCAAGGTTACAATTCTCAAGAAAGCAGCGCATTTGGATTTATTGAGAACTGGTTGGGAACAGATCATAGATTTAGTGAGAGAAGGGGCTTTAGAGGCCATATAGTCCAACACTTTCATTTTACAGATAAGTAAACTGAGGTTTACAGAGGTCAAATGACTTGCCCGAGCTAACTCAGGTATTCTGTGTCTGAGGTGCTCCAAGAGAGTCCAAGAGAGGCTAGGACTTGTTCCCTTCAGCTCTGGGGCATGGAGGCCTCTTTGTCAAATGAGCTGTTGGTCCTTGGGCCAGCTAGTGGGTCTGCCTACCTCCAATGTCTCCCCACTCCAATCCAACCTCAATTCAGTCACCAAAGTGATTTTCCTAAAGTAAGGTTCTGATAATGTCATCTCTCCCTCTACTCAATAAACTCCAAAGGATATTCCTATCATGTCTAGTATCAACTGTTTGGCATTAACCCTGTGTTTGGCATTGAAAGCCCTTCCTAATCATCCCCCCTCCTACTTTTCCAATTTTCTTCCACCTTCCATCCCTCCCCCATGTACTCTGTGATCCAGGGGCACTGGTCTTCTTGCTGTTTCATGAACAAGATACCCAGCAGTCTCCTCTGGGCATTATCTCTGAATGTCACTCATGCCTGAAAAACTCTCCCTGTTCCTCTTTACCTACTGTCTTCCCTGATAACTTTCTAGTCCCAACTAAAATCCCATATGGGGTCTTGACCCACAGTTTAAGAAGCACTGAAGGGGTTGTGAGTGGAAAAAATTTAAGAAGACCTGTTCTAGAGGAAACCTTTCCCAACCCTTCTTAATTCTAGTGCCTTCCTTTTGAAAAATTCTTTCCTATTTATCCTGTATAAAGCTTGTTTACACACATTTGTTTGCTTGTTACTAGCTCCTTGAGGGCAGGTGCTTTCTTTTGACTCTTTTTATATCCCCAGAGCTTAGGACAGTGCCTGCCACATTGTAGGCTCTTAGTAAACGTTTATTGACTGACTTTCCCTTCCCACCTCTAACTACTTCGGCTTGATACAGCCTACACTTGATTCTAATTGTGTCCTGTTATTCTGTTAAACACTGTATTTGACAGAACTGATCTTACTTCTCATAAAAAGCAGTGGTTGACCTTGTCCTTACATTTCTTCTTCCTTTGTTCATAGCATGAGAGTATGAGGACAGCTCTAGGAGCCACATAGGAAAAAGGAGGCCTTTCTCAGGCCAGGACTGAAGTCACAACCCCAGGCACATTGTTTGAGAGTTTTTCATCTTTAGCTAGAGACACAATCATAAAACATTCACATATTTCATAACTGCACTGCAAAGGACAGAATTTCTTTGAACATAGGACCTTCTTAAATCAGCCTCCGCAGACGTGAGCCTAATGCAGTGACCCCTGGGATTATATAAACTTAGACCCTCAGACTCTCAACTTGGCTTTCTTTGTATTCCCCATGTATGTATATGTATATATGTACATACACACACACATATGTATATATATATACACATATTGTGTATATATATGTGTATATATATGTGTATATATATGTACACACACACACACACACACACACACACACACACACACACACACACATATATATATATATATATATATATATATATATACACATATGGGTATACTGGAGCCAGCCCCTATTAGTTCTCAAGATCCAACTGATAAATTTTTAGTGTGAACATTCAAATGCTTTTCTTCTCGTGGAATTTTATTAGATGCCTTTATTCTGAACTAATCATGTGTTCTGGCTCAACTGATTGATGGGTGCCATGAGCTATGGATGGGAGTCAGCGGGAAGGAGTTCCCTCCTTGTTCTCTCTCTTTTTTTTTTTTAAATTTTTGGAAGCAATGGGAGTTAAGTGACTTGCCTAGGGTCACATAGCTAGCTAGTAAGTATCTGAATCGAGATTTGAACTCAGGTCCTCTTGACTCCAGGGTCGGTGCTCTCTCTACTGCACCACCTAGCTGGTCTCTCTGGCCCCTCCCCTTCTTGTTCTTGAACTGCTTCCTTCCATCTAAAGACTTTTGCTCATACTGTCCCCCCAGGCTAGAATGGATCCCATCTTTCTCTGTTGAAGAGCCTCCTTTCTTTCAAGTCCCAATTCATATCTTCCTTCTCCATGAAGTTTTGGTTAAAATCTCCTTCCTGTCAAATGAAAGTTATCTCACTTTCTCTAACTTCTCATAGAATGTTAACTCGACATTTCGTGAACCGTTTATTTCATTCTCTCTTATATTGTAGTTACTTGTGCACTTCTCTTTGGCTAAATAGATTTGCCTTTGTCTCCTTGGTGTCTAGCACAGTGCTGGGCACACAGTAAACACTTAATAAATGTGTATTGATTGATTGTAAATTCTTTGAGAGATGGGTATGTGTATTTATGTTTTGCATACACCTTATCTGTAGTGGGTGCTTAGTAAGCGTTTGTTGAAATGAGTTGATTTCTCACTTCCAAATAAAGATTCTCCAGATATTTGCAGAGGAGAAACTTGTGCTACAATTAAAAAAACCAAGTGATATAGATTCTGAGTGAATGTCATGTCTGCTTCAGTGACCTTGTTAAGAGGAGATAGCTAAAGGTATTTATTTGTTAAGCGCTTACCATGTCCTAAAGTGGTGCTAGGATACAAATACTAGCATAAGGAAAGTGACCTCACGTGTGGAGAAAGAGAAAAAGGGAGGGGGGGGAGAGAGAGAGAGAGAGAGAGAGAGAGAGAGAGAGAGAGAGAGAGAGAGAGAGAGAGTTAGTTCAAATGTAGGTGAGTCTCCATATGATACAAGGGATTGTCTCCCCACATATAGCATAGTGGTGTCCTCGTGTGGCTCAAAGGGAGGCAGAAGAGACATTTCTAGCCTGCCCCTCCTCTCCCTCTCCACACCCCATCCCACCCCTTCTTCTCTAAGGGAGACTTTCATTCCTGTCAGGAGAAGGAGCAGGAAGCTGGGGCCAAAGGCTACTCTGGTTGTTCTCAGAGAGAGGAAGCATTAGAATAGAATTATATCTATCTATTATTAGTTTAGGGGATATGATCAGGTTCTATCTAACAATAAAGAACAATTAATTTGGACCCCAAAGACCTGGGTTTGGATCTTTGCTTTCTAATTTATTACCTTGTACTTTTTTGTAAAATGAGAAGGTTGGGCTGAATTTCCCCTGTGGTGCCTTTTGGTTCTTAATCTTATTATTCTACGGTGGGTAGAGGGGACGATAATGTCTTCAGATCTAAAATTAGGGTGGAGTGCCTGGGGCTTGCCTTAGGGCACAAACATTTAGAAGGCACAAAAGTTTAACACTTGAATTCTTGCCACAACACAGAAGCCAAATTAGAAACTAATTTCCTTCCTGTTCAACAGAATTTGTCTTTGTTACTTAGATTCTTTTTCATTCCATGAATTATGAAATTAATGTGAAAATGTGCCATTCCTGGCTTAACTTGGCCTCATTCACATTACTTGTTCTGCATGTCAAAATTCCTAGAAATATCTCCAATTATCCTTGTCTTTTACACAGCAGGAAGCAGATCCAATAAAATTAAAGGACTTGACAAAAGTCATGGACAAAGCCAGGATTAGCATTCAAGATTCCTTCACAGTCCTGTAATTTTTTGCAATATATTATATCCTCTAAAACTTGGGAAGGGGCTTTGAGTGTTGATAGTCTGGAATCAGTCTTTTATTCACAATTACTTGAGACAGTTCAGAATCTCATGGTAGGGGCTATTACTCCCCCTTCCCCCCTCCATATTACCCTTCCACCCCCACCCCCACACGTTTCTACTGGTCCAACCACTTACTCTACTTTGTACCTTTAGAGTCTAAGGACTGTTCCTTTTCCCTTTCACACCAACCTAGCCACCTGTCTCTTCCTAGTTTTTCTTCCCTCCAGCTAGAGTGAGAATTCCTCCCCACCTCTCCCATTCCCTCACTACCTAGCACACCAGGCAACAGAGAAGTAACCACAGGAGGGCAGTGTGTATGTGTGTGTGTTCTCTACTGACATGAAGGTTCTGGCTCCTCCCTCAGCCTGGATCACTCATGGCACAGAGTGGCTTTCATTTTCTTCTCAGTCACATGGTTTCTTTTTAAAACAGAGTATTAAGCAGCAGTCCCTGAGAGAGGAAAAAGAAGGCTGCTGATCCAGGAGAGACAGGAACAGAACTGCTGACCTTTGTCCTAAACCCCTCTCCACCAAACACCTCTTTCTTCTGGCAGATTCTGTGGTAGTCTGCATTGGGAGGAAACTGGGTGCCTGGCAGTAAGTAGATGACATCTAGCTTTCTCAGGAGAGTAGGAGAGGCAGGCTGGGATCAGGTTGAAAGTGGAGAACATGGGAGTGTCCAGAGCCAAATGGACTCCACTGAGCTATTGTCTGTCAATATATGCATGTGTACATATGTGTTTGAAACTTGAATGGATTTGAAAGTGACAATTCTTTCAGAAAGAACTCCAGATCAGGGCAGTTGCATGCAGATTTGGAAGATGGCTGCTTGTCTTGTCAGGGATGTTGAGAAGGATCAAACCTCTCACCCTATGCATGCATAGCACACCTAGAATCCCTCAAATGGGTCAGAGTCTTTCATTCTACAGAGAAAGCTTGAAATCAAATCTTTCCCAAAGACAGAACCTGGGATCTTAGTTTACACTGAAGTGTCAAAGGCTATCTGAGACTTCTCTGAGAGCAAGTTTCTGATTCTGATTCTGTGGAAAGATAGAGGTTAGGCATTTAGTTTTGAAAGGAAGATGTGGGTGTATGTGTGTCTGTGAATAAGAAAGGGGAGGATCCTGTAAGGTGCAAGTATTTAAATGCAAACTCCTCTGACTTTTTTTTACCGCTCTTTCTGGAGATCTTAGGGATCTGGGGTATAGTAGGTAGGTAGGATTCTAAAGGATCACTGAGAAAGCCCTCCACCTGGTGTCTCCTTTGGCCACCATTCTGACCAGCTCACCAGATCACTTGTGACCAAGAGCTGAAGACTTGCTTCTTTCAACAGACAAGCTCTGTTCAGGCTCAGTATGTAGCTCAAAGGCTAAGCATTGCCTGTGGGGCCAGCTTCCAGCACTGGATCTGCCTGGAAGCCTGCTAAAGGTGTCAGAAGGGGGTGGAACGGGGAGGATGGAGAGGATGGAGGGGTGTAGAGGGAGGAGGAGAGGGCCTTTTGTTTCTCCTTTGAATCTTAGGGGACCCTACAGAGCACAACCCAAAGAAAGAATGGGATTCACTGGCAGGCTATAGGCTTTAAGGCCTAAGAGACAGAGTAACAGGAAATTGCAACATTTGAAGAAAAGTAACAAGTAAAATTTAAAAGTTGTTCTGTTTGGAAATACATTGTAATGCCTCTTCCTACTTCTGCCAAGGTTCTCCCTAATCCTCTGCAAGTCAGTTAGCCGTTTGTACTTCCCTTTTCAACATGAAAATGGGAAAAATCGGCCTTGGAGTCAGCAGGACCTGTGTTCAAACCGTCAGACACTTACCAACTCTGAGACTCTGGGCAAGTCATTTAGCCACGATTGCCTCAAAAAGAAGAAAAAAAAGGATAAAAAAATCATAGTTACCTTTACTACACACCTCACTAAAGAAAGTAGTGAAGTTATCTAGCCCATCCATTTCTTGGCCATCATGTACTGAGGCTGGGATCTCTCTAGAGGGAAATAGGGCATTTTCCCCAGGGTCCTTGGGTAACAGCCAATTTTTGAACTTTTCTTGGATAATGGAGAGAAGAGGATTGGAGGAAACAAAAGTAGCCTGAGTTGCTGCCAACTTCAAAGAGATGCCTGGTTGCTTTTGCATCTGCACAGTCTGTTCATAAAAGCTGTTTCCCACAGTCTTGGCTATATTCACCTCCATCTGTAACCAGGCTGGTATGAGAAGAGAAGCAGCTTCCCTGTTTATGTTTTCCCACACCTAAAAATTGTCCCTAATATCCTTCTATCTCACTTAAATCCTTCCTGCTGTTGTGTGTTTCCCTCTCCATCTTATTATAATTAACTGTGTGACCTTGGGCAACTCATTTCTCTTCAGTGAAGGGGCTCTATCGTTTCTTAGCATAGTGACAGGGTTGGAGGAGAAGATCTCAAAGGTCCCTTCCAGCTGTAAAGTTTGTGATCCTGATATTCTGGATATTATTTCAGGGGGATTGAAATGCAACCAAAAGAAACATTCCTAGTGGAATGAGGCTAAGTTTTGGGCCTTGAAGCTTCTATGTAAAAACTTCAGGAAGGAGCCCTTACCAATCCTTGGATAACTGCAAAATAAAATGACATGTGGCTCTCCTTGCTGGTTAGGGCCACTGGGGGATTTTATATCTATTAGAAGAAGAAAATTGCAGGACTTCCTGTTTTGAAGTTGGGTGGTTTTGAGTCACATATTTTATTTGTTATAGGAAGATGGATCTATGGTATAGAGTTTCTACTCCTTTGGAGAAATTCTCTAACTGGTATTGCATTTTACTTACTGTGCTAATTTTGTTTTTAAAATCAACACAGATTGTTTTAAGTTCTGCACTGAAAGCTGTGGTTCCTGACCTTAATTTATGCCTTCTTTCTTATTTTATAAATTTTCTTTCTCTTTTGAACCATTCTGGGATTTTTTGCTCATGTTCTATGATCTCTTGGTGATCTGTAGGATTCTGTCATTTGTCAGACAATTTCACAAAATCATAATCACAGAATTTGAGAGTTGCTGGGGATCTCTGTGGCAGGTGAGTCCAACTAAGGGGAATTCTGACTCATAGCTTGACAAGTGATCCTCCTTCATCTGCTGGAAGATCTCCAAGGACAGGCAGCTCCACCTCCCCCCAAGGGAGTGCATTCCACTCTTGGACAACTCTCATTGTTAGGAATTTGTACTGACATCAAGCCTCAGTTTGGTTCTTTGCAACTGCTTTTAGATCTTCACTCTGGGGCCAAACAGAACCAAACACATCCCTCTTATATACAGCAGCCTTGAAATATTTGAATATAGCTATGATATCTGTTGAAGAAAAAGATATTAATACTAATAGTGGATTCTGCAATTTTGGCTCAATTCTGGCAGAAACTGTTTTATTCAATATATCATTAAACCCTATCCAAGTTAATTGAGAGAGAGAGAGAGAGAGAGATAGTCCTCATGCCATCTGACATGACTCTGTGCCTCAAGATAATTTTTGATAATATTTGTAGGAATCTTGAACAAAGAAAAGATATCTTAAAATACAATCTGGGTTAATATTCCAGTGTTGTTGAGTAACTGAGTTGCCATCCTGTTCCACTCCCCACACTCTAGGTGCTAAAACAGAGGGACTTCCTCAGTACCATTGATATTGTCATCCTTTCTCCACTGAGAAGGATGTGTCCTTGTGCAGGGATCAGTGTAGGTGGCCAGGTAAAGAAGAGAGAGCTCTCTGCTGGGTAAATAACCAAATCACTTCAGTGGGAGGAAAAGCAGACATCCATCCCACACCACGCACCCTCTGAAACCTCTTACAATTACATGGTAGTTTTGTTGTCTTCCTAACTTCCCTGAACAACCATTCTGTCATGCTCAGGGACCTTCTACAGCTTCTCATAACTCTAAGCAAACTTCCAAATTCACTTGCTTTGTTCCTGCTGGGGCACCTATCTCCCTACCTCCTTCCAGCTACCCATAGTTGCCTGAGGCCCTGGGACCATACTCTGAGGCTGAATCCCTGTGGTAAATGAAGACCCATGTGAATTCATTCCTCAAAGCTACTCCCACTCTCATCTCATTCTGAACCCTGGTTGCTATTGTTCAAATCCTTTTCTCCGTCTCCTACTGACCACTCCCTTATTCCCATCTCCTTCAACTTCTTCTCCACCTCCTGCTCTAAAGCTACTTAACTCTTCTTCTGCTCACTCTGGAATGCCTGATCCATAGGTAAAAAATTAGATTTCATCTTAAGTATTTTCTTCTCCTGCTCCCTCCATCTTGAGACCCAGCTTCCTCCTGGTGCCACAGTTTCCCTGGTCACACTATCTAGCTCTCGATGCACTCACTCATAATTACAGATTAACTGGTAGTTGTCAAGGCATTCAAATACTCTTTGCTACCCCTTGCCACTTAAAGATTCTCTTTCCACCACCATGACTAACCTTGCTTCCTTTGAGGTTCATTCAAGCCGTATTTATCATTCTATCAAGATTCTGGTGGCTCTTGTCTACCAATTTCTTTCTTTTTTTTTTAATTTTTAGGCAATTGGGGTTAAGTGACTTGCCCAGGGTCACACAGCTATTAAGGGTCAAGTGTTTGGTCTGAGGCGGGATTTTAACTCAGGTCCTTCTGACTTCAGACCAGTGCGCTATCCACTGTGCCACCTAACTGCCCTGTCTACCAATTTCTAGGACATTCCTTATTTCTTCAACGAATTTAGTGACTGTCTCACAGTCTTCTTACACATACTAGTACTCTTACCCTCATACTAGAGGGTTTCAGCCTACATCTTGATACTCCCAATTCTTCAATTTGCTCATTTCCTATGACCTACTCCACCACTCAAATCAGCCCCATAAATCATACCTTTGATCTTGCCAGAAATATACTGCTTCCATGTTTATGATCTGAAATGCCCTCATTTGACCCCAATCTATTGTCATTTCATCTCTCTCTCTGCCTTACTACCCCAAACATTGTTTCATTCTTTTTGTTCTTTTTAGTAGTATTTTATTTTTCCCAATAATACATAAAGATAATTTTTAGCATTCATTTTTGCAAGATTTTGAGTTCCAAATTTTTCTCCCTCCCCTCCTTTCTTCCTAAAATAGTCAGCAATTTGATATAGATTATATATCTGTAATCATGTAAAACATATTTCCATATTAGTTACAGTTGTGAAAGAAGAAATAGAACAAAAAAAACATGAAACAAAGTAAGTGAAAAAAGTATGCTTTGATCTGTATTCAGAGTACATCAGTTCTTTACCTGTATGTGGACATCATTTTCCATCATGAGTTCTTTGTAATTGTCTTGGATCATTGTGTTGCTGAGAAGAGCTAAGTCATTTATAATTGATCATCACACAATGTTGCTATTGCTGTGTGCAGTGTTTTCCTGGTTTTGCTCATTTCATTTTGCATCAGTTCATACAAGTCTTTCCAGGTCAAAACTCATTCTTCATCCTCATTACAATCTCCAATTCCACCATCCCTCAGTTCTTCCCCAGACTGTTCCCCTTGCACTGGCTATGCTATATTCCCTTATGCATCTTGACCCCTTGGTAAACCAGTTCGATTTGACACTGTCCTCTTCTCTTGAGGACCCTTGTTTTATTCTTGAGTGAGGTTCCCTGCCAAGCTTAAGCCTTGGATTACTCCTACAATCTGCTCCCTCCACTCTTACTCACATGCAACTGAATGAAGGTTTAGACAGTCACAAAACTGTGCTGAGTCCACTACAAATTTATCTCACATAATCTCAGCTGGACCTTCATGGAAGCAAGGCAATCCTTTTATATCTCTATTTGACTCATTTTCTCACTCACCGCAGCAGCTTTTCCAAACCTCTTATGGCTCCCCCTTCCCACATTTTCAGCTGAGAACCTTTGCCTCATGTGAGGCCATTAATTGAGAGTATCCTCTACTCCTCATCCCATATCCCTCAGATGCCTTCTTCCACTCCTTCACCCTTATTTCACTTGAAGTTGTAGCTCTTTTTCTTGCCAAGGCAAACCCCTCTACATACTCAAGTGATCCCATTCCATCCTGTCTCCCTCAACAGTTCTTCCTCTATCATTTATACTCTCTCACCAATCTTCAGTTTCTCCTAGTCTACTTTCTGCTTCCCTACTTCCTACAAGATTCTGATGTCTTCTCCATCCTCAAAAAATCCTCCCTTTATCTATCCACCACCACTAGTTATCATCCAGTATCTGTCCTTTTTCTGCGTAAACTCCTTGAGAAAGCTTTCTATAGTTGGTGTTTCCGATTACTTTTCCCTCATTTTCTTCTTAACTCTCTGCAATCTGGCTTCTAACCTTATCATCCAATTGAAACTGCTGTCTCCAAAGTTATCAATGATCTCTTAACTCAGATTTAAGGGCCTTTTCTCAATCCTCATCCTCGTTAACTTTTCTGCAGCCCTTGACACTGTCAACCACCTTCTTGTCCTTAATACTCTTTAAGTTTTTTTGTTACACTGTTTTCTTATGGTTCTCTTTTCCCTCACTTGTCTGACTGCTTTTTTTCAGCCTCCTATGAAGAATCTTTATCTAATCATGTGTATTAACTATGGATGGCCCCTATGGCTCTGTCTTTAGCCCTCTTCTCTTTATATACTGTTTTATTGGTGATCTTTTCAGCATCCATGGCTTCAATGATCATCTCTATGTAGATGATTTTCAGATCTATTTGTGCAGCCCTTACTTGTATCCTGACTTTCAGTCTCATATCTCTAACTCCTGATTGGACAGCAAATAGAGACATTTGACCTGGATGTTCCATTGACATCTTAAATTTAGCATGTTTTTTAACTGATCCATCTTTCCTTCTGGGCTCTCCCCTCTTCCTAATTTCCCTGTTACTGTCAAGGGTATGCCTCCATTCTTGCAGGCTCACAACCTTGATATCATCTTTGACTCATCATTCTTCCTCAAACTCCATATACAGTCTGTTGCCAAGTCCTGCCAATTTATCTTCAAAATATCTCTCATATACATCCCTTCTCACCTTTGATACTCCTGTCATCTTGGTTTAGGCCCTGGAGTATTGCAACAACCTTTTGGTTGGTCTCCTTGCCTCAAGTCTCTCCCTTACTCCAGTGCATTCTACACTGATTGTCAAATTGATCATCCTGAAGCCCAGATCTGCCATGTTGCTCTCCTTTTCAATAAACTCCAGTGGCTCCCTCTTACTTCCAGGATTAAATATAAAATCTTCTGCTTGATGTTCAAAGGTCTACATAACCTGGCACCTTCCTATCTTTCCAGTCTTCTTGTATTTTATTTCCCTCCACGTACTTTGTTATCTGTTGACACTGGTCTTCTTGCAGTACCTATCACAGAACACTCCCCTTCCTGACTGAACATTTTAACTGGCTGTCCTCCATGCCTGGAACCATCTCTCTCCTCACCTCAGCCTCCTGGCTTCCTTGGTTTTCCTCAAACCTAAGCTAAAATCCCACCTTCTGTAAGAAGTTTTCCCAGTCTTCTATAATTGTAGTACCTTCCCTCTGTGAATATTTCCAACCAATCATGTATATATCTTGTTTGTGCATAGTTATCTACATGATCCATCTGCTCTTGAGAGTAGAGATTGTTTTTTTTTTTTAATTTTTATTTTTTGGCCTCTCTTTGTATCTTGAGAGTTTAGCACAGGGACTGGCACATAGTAGGGGCTTCGTAAATGCTTGTTGACTTGACAAAAGTTAAGAGTTCATTTATTATCCTCAATCCATTTCCTGAAGAAATACTTTTTTGTCCTCTACTTAACACCCAACTTCCCAGTGGGTTTTCCTTAGACATATGGAAAAAGTTTTAGAGAGAAATGTTATTTCCTAGTATTTCTAGGGAAACTAAAAAAGAGGTTTAAAATTTTTTTTCTAAGAACTCCTTCTGAGCCTCCTCTTCTCCAGACTAAACACCCCCATTTCCTTCAACTTCATGTATTCAAGCTTTTCACCTCCTCTGGACACTCTCAGGCTTAGCAATATCCTTCTTAAATGGTGGCACCTAGAATTGAATGCAATATGTATGAATATGTACACATATTTATTAGAAATGATCAGTTGGTTCATGTTGAACTAAAATAATGCCAAATCTTTAATATTAAAATATACCAAAATGTTCCATAACCATTAAAAGTTTTATGTTTTGGGGCCAAGAGGCCTGGGAAGCTTTGATCAAAAAAGTCTGTGAATTGCTCTGTCACTTCTCTTTCTTCATGTAATAGTCTGATGAAATTTTCTAAATGCTGAATTTTCCTCAGATGCTTCAGCAAGCTACAGATATGGATCATCAAGAAAGACTCCATGACCAACAACTAGGTAAGGAAAGGATTTGTGGGAAGGATTCTTTCCCCCACATCACAAACTATCTCAGTAATGGTGGTCTTGTGGTGTCTGTGCTTTTGGGGGAAAATTGTTCCTTTTAGTGACTATTCCTGAACTCCAAGTTAACTACTAACAGGTGAAAATAGACAATGGAAAAACTGCTAAATTTGAAGTCACGGGATTTAGGTTTGAATATAAGTTCTGCTGAGTGACCACTTGAATAATCATTTAATTTCTCAGGGTCTCAGTTTCCTTGACTGTAAAATTAGGGTGTTGGACTTTCCCAGGCCATCACTCATGCTTTGGCTATTTTCTTCTCCATTCCCAACTTAGAAATTTCTTCCCTCTTACCTATAAACATTTGTAAGTCTCTCACATGCTTAGTAAAAGTTTATCAGACATTCCTTCTCCTTCAAGCTAATATTGTCAATCTCTTCTCCTTTTCTCAGACAAAGTCCTCGAAAAATCTGCCTGCTCTTGCTATCTTTGCTACCTCTCCTCTCATTTTCTTTTAAAATGCTAGTATCTTGCATCTGACCTCATTGCTCAAATGAAATCTCCATTCCAGGCAGGGTTGTGAGGAAAAGATATGGTGATATTTGTAAGATATTTTATAAAACTCATAGTGCTACATAAATGCTAACTTATTGTCATTATCATTATTGTATTATTATGATTCGATTCACAAGGATACCTTGAATATGTTTTGTATGTGTTGAGTATATACCCACATATACGTACATGTTATCTCCCAGGCTAGAATGTAAGCTCATCTGGGACTGTTTCAATTCTGTCTTTGTCAGTCCCAGCACCCAGCACAGTGTAGATAGAGAGTGGGCGCTTAATAAATGATTATCAATCGGTTGTTGGGCCTAGATGACTTGAAATCCCTTCCAGCTGTAGATGTGTGATCCTAGCATCTTATGTTGCACGTGGGTGGAGCTGATTTCATACTAATTGAGAGACTTCTGCTTCACTGAGAAGATTAAGACCGTTCAATTGAAGCTCTCTTACCTCTATCCTCAGAACCCACCATTATCAGCCAGTCCTTCCTCTATTCTTCTGGTCCCAGGCTGTATGATATACTTATTTCTCACTAATTTTCTCTATCTGATGTCTTGATAGTGTTTTCCTCCCACCTCTAAGACTTTGCTTCAACAATTACCCTTTCTCTTTCATCCTTCCTCAGTTTCTCCTCCTCTACCTGCTCTTCTTCTGCCTACAAATATGCATAGTCTTCCCCCTTTATTTATTTTTTACTGTGTACACCTAAATTTATTATATTTTTGCATCTATTAACATTTTTAAGGTATGGGAAGTGTTTTCCTTTACGATGACCCTGTGAGATAGATGTTGCAGCCTATATCTCTATTTTACACACGGTCTTAAATACTTTACACATGGTCACATGAGCATTAAATATATGAGGTTAGGTTCAACCCTAGCCTATTTTTGACTCCAGGTCTAACACTCTACCCACTTTACCATGCTGTCTCTTACTATATCCCCTTGTCCGGAGCGTGACTATGTCAGCATTTGGCTGCAGTGGTTGGAGGAAGTTCCTTAATGCTCTCCAAAATCTGAGTCACAGACCAAGTTTGGTCTCAGGGGTGACCCCTAAATTTCACTTTTTTTTTTTAAAACTAGCTTTGCTCCTAAGCCTGGAATTTACTCTGGAACAGCTTTGGTATCACTCACGTCTAGATTTCACAAACATGAGTAATAGGGCTTTTAATTCCTTTATACGCATTCAGGGTCACAAATATATATCAGGGAAAGGAAAGCCTCTATTCTGAGACACACATACACACACACAATTCAGAAGACAAAAAGGTTTTAGAGAATATATAGAAATATAGAGAAAACACATAAAATTCTCACGTAATCTGTAAGCTACCCTCAGAAAGGAAAGGATCTTGTGATTACTAATGAGGCAAATTTTGACATGAGTGAAACCTCTTCCACAGGGTTCTACACAATCCCTCCCACAGTTATTGTGCCATCCTCTATTTTGAACATTTCCCTAAGTTAATAAGTACGAAATTTTTTGTCCAAGGCTCACCCCCACTTTTTTTTTTTTTTTTTTTTAGTAATACATACATACGTGGTGGCACAGTGGATAGAATTCTGGGCCTGGAGTTTGTTTGACCTGAGTTCAAATCCAGCCTCAGACACTTACTATCTGTGTGATCCTGGGCAAGTCACTTAATCTCTGTTTGCCTCAGTTTCCTCAACTGTAAAATAGAGTTCCTACTTGTAGGATTATTGTGAGGATCAAATGAGCTAACATTTATAAACTCCTCAGCACAGTGCTATGTAGCACAGGTGCTATGTAAATGCTTATTCACTTTCCTTCCCCTCCCCTTTCAAAAAGAACAAAAAAATGAGTTGTGAACACTCAGGGTAATTTAATATACTACTTATAGTATTAATTACAATTATTTACTGCTTAAGGCACTGTAAGGGACCACAGGCCCAGTATGACCTCTGGAAAATTACTAGATTGCAGTTGTCAAGGCCTCCTTGTGATAAGAACAAATTACTACCTCTTCCTGGAATACTCCTATACCTTTGGTGGTCCTTGTGATAAGAACAAATTACTACCTCTTCCTGGAATACCCCTATACCTTTGGTGGTCCTTGTGATAAGAACAAATTACTACCTCTTCCTGGAATACCCCTATACCTTTGGTGGTCCTTGTGATAAGAACAAATTACGGACAAAGCTGTACCTCTTCCTGGAATACCCCGCCCCTATACCGGTGGTGGAACTCCCCCCCTCCCTCTTACGGTGTGTATAACTACCCTGAGCTAGCCTTCAATAAACGAGACTTGATCAGAAAGCCTGTCTTGTCTCCATTTCCTGTGTCCCCTGCTCCCCTCCTTCTTTTACAGGTCCGGACCTCCGTTGATGTCCTGCGGGACGGGACAAGGCACCACTAAAAACTCTTTAGCATAAACTCCTTGGACCATCATTGTGAACCCTCAACAGGTTAGAGAACCATGAAATGGAAAACACTGCCCAATGCAAAACACACTTTACAGCTTCTGGACAGGCAACCCACTTCCCAAACAAGCTGGACTATTCAAATAAATCACTATCACAGGGCAGAGGAGCAAAGAACATGACTTTTGCTCCCGCATATTGCAACTTTTGTCCATGAACTCTGGGGCATGGGTGAGAATGTGCAACTTCCTTGTATTTCTTCCAAGTACTCCAGCACTGGATTGGTTCCTGTCACCTCTTAGGCTATGAAAGTCTGTTCTCATGAATTCTTCTATTTGGCCAGCAAAAAAGCTGTGAGTGAACACATGTGGTGATCTTGTAATTGTGCCCATATGCTATTTCCCTATGGGAGCTGTTAATGTTTAATGGGGGAAGGGAAAGGGAGAAATCAATGGATCAATAAGCTCTTCTTAATTTCTTCCTCCTTTACCCCTGCTGTGATCTAGAAGAAGTATGATTTAGCATTGACCATCACAGTAGGGGTAGCTTCTTGGACAAAAAGTATTAGCTAGCAAACTTCTTGATGTCAGTACCCGCCATGGAACCTTACGTCTTTTATTCTGTTAATGATTTATTCTCAATTTTGACCATACCAACAATAATGTTCATTCTCTATACAGAGAGGCTCGGACAATCAAAAATTCAAAGCTAAGGTTCACTTCTTTGTAAGTTCATTAAATTGACCAATGATCAGTTGATCAATATTGATCTCTACCCTTCCCCTAATCTCTCCTCCCTCATCTTACTTCTCCCAAGTAAATTTCAAATTCCTCTGCCTGGAATATGAGATTCTCCAAAATCTGGCACCATTCCAGATTTCTAGCCTTATTTGTTATTATTCTCTTCCATGCAGTCTATGTTTTGACCAGATTGGACAACCCTCTTTCTCCTGAATATGTAGTATACTTTTCCAGCTCCAATTCTTTATTTACATGGTTACCTGAGTCTGCAATGTCTTATCTTCCTCTTCACATGCTAAATTCCTACCTATCCTTTAATGCCTAGCTCCCATTGAATTCCAACTCCTCTATGAAGCCTTCTTTGATCCCTTCTTTTAACAAAATGTACTTATCATGTATCGTTATGCAGTATAGTTATCCTGACTTCCTATCTTTTTAGTAAACTGTAAGATCTATGAGGAAATGGAGCCTAAACTCTGTATTTCCCATAACACCGAGTAGAGTAGTTCTGAATAAATTTTTTCCTGCTTTTTTATTATAATATTTTATTTTTCCCCAATTACATATTAATTTTTTTAATATTTTAAAAAAGATTTTAAGTTCCAAATTCTATCTTTCCCTTCCCTGAGATGGTAAGCAGTCCAATATAGGTTATATATATGTAATCATGTAAAATCCATATTAGTCACTTTGTATAAGAAGACTTGAATAAAAAAAGAAAGAAAAAAAGCAAGAAAGTGAAAAACAGCATGCTTTAGTCTGTATTGAGACAGTATCATTTCTTTCTCAGGAGATGGATAGCATGCTTCATCACGATTACTATGGTCATTTACTATACTGTAATGTGTATCTAATATATTCCACTGGTCCACCACTCTATTTCTTAGCCAATACCAGATTGTTTTGTTAATTACCACTTTTTAATACAGTTTGAAATCTGGTACAGCTAGACCACCTTCCTTCACCTTTTTTTCCCCATTGATTCCTTTGATATTTTTGACCTTTTGTTATTATTTTTTTCTAGCTCTATAAAATAATTTTTGGTAGTTTGATTGATGTGGTACTGAAATAGTAGATTAATTTAGGTAGAATTGTAATTTTTATTGTATTAGTTTGACCCACCCATGAGTAATTGATATTTTTTCTAGTTGTTTAGATCTAACTTTATTGCATCAAAAGTATTAATTGTGTTCATATAGTTCCTGGGTTTGTCTTGGCAGATCGACTCCCAAGTATTTGATAATTTCTACAGTTATTTTAAATGGAATTTTTCTGTGTGTTGCTGTTAAACTTTGTTGGCACTATATAGAAATGCTGATGATTTATTTGGGTTTATTTATATACTGCAACTTTTCTAAAGTTGTTAATTATTTCAATACGTTGTTTACAAGGAAGACATTTGTGGAACAGAGACACATTTCAATACGTTGTTTACAAGGAAGACATTTGTGGAACAGAATAAAGGTAAGGGGAAGGAGCAGAATATATTATGTTTCAGCTGAAGCAAAAAAAAAAAAAGGAGGGGGTAACAATCATGATCTCAGACAAAGCAAAAGAAAAATAAATCTAATAAAAAGAGATAAGGAATGAAAATGTATCTTGCTGAAAGATACTACAAACAATTGTTCTTCCCCAAGAGAATGACAATAATGAGACAATATACTGAAATTTATAGGGTGCAGCCAAAGCAGTACTTAGGGGGAAATTTATATCTCTAATTGGTTACATCAATAAAACAGAGAAAGAATAGATCAATGAATTGGGTATGCAACTAAAAAAAACTTGAAAAATAACAAATTAAAAATCCTCAATTAAACACCAATTTGGAAACCCTGAAAATTGAAGGAAAGATTAATAAAATTGAAAGTAAGAAAACCATTGAGCTAATAAATAAAACTAGAAGTTGCTTTAATAAAAAAAACCCAATAAAATAGATGAACCATTGGTTTAATTTGATTATAGAAAAGAAAAACAAAAACAAAATTATCAGTATTGAAAATGAAAGGGGTGAATTCACCACCCATGATGAGGAAATTAAAACAATTGTTAGGAGCTATTTTGCCCAATTATGCTGATAAATTTGACAATCTAAATGAAATGGATGAATATCTACAAAAATGTAAATTACTCAGATTAACAGAAGAAGAAATAGAGTACTTAAATAACCCAATCCTAGAAAAAGAAATTGAACAAGCCATCAATGAACTTCCTAAGAGTAAACCCCCAGGGCCAGGGGGATTCACAAGTGAATTTTACCAAACATTTAAAGAACATTTACTCCCAATACTACATAAGCTATTTGGGAAAATAGGTGAGGGAGTCCTATCAAATTCCTTTTGTGACACAAATATGGTGCTTATAGTTAAACTGGGATGAGCCAAAACAAACAAAGGAAATTATAGACCAATTTCTTTAATGAATGTTGAAGAAATGTTTTTTTTTGGGTTGAATCATAAGGGTAAACAATAGGGATGGTGGCTTCACCTTCTCTTCTACTTACTTGCTAATCAGTCATTCAGGAAGCATTTATTAAGTACCTACTATGTGCCAGGCACTGTCCTAAGTGCTGGGGGTTCAAAGAGATGCAAAAGACAGTGCTTGCCCTAAAGGAGTTCACAGAGTAAGGAGAGAGACAACAAATATGTACAAACAAGCTATATACAGAATAAATAGGAAATCATTTTAAAAGGGAAGGCACTCGAATTAAGAGTGGTTGGGAAAGTCTCCCTGCAGAAGATGGGATTTTAGTTGGGACTTGAAGGAAGTCAGGTAAGGCAGGAGATAGAGATCAGGAGGGAGAGCATTCCAGACACTGAGGAGAGCTAGAGAAAATGCCCAGAGCCAAGAAATGGAATGTCTTGTTCAAACAACATCAAGGAGACCAGTGTTGCTGAATCACAGAGTGCATGGAGGAGGGATAGAAGGTGTAAGAAGAATGGAAATGTGGGGAGCAGGCTATGAAGGGCTTTGAACTCCAAATGGATGACCTGGACATGTAGTAGACCACTTGATCAATGATTGTTGAATGGTGTTGAACTGTAAGGAAATAATATACACCTCCTTGTTATTCCGATGACCCTGTTCCTTGTGATGGTCAGAGGGAATGGCTACCAATAGGTAATTTTTATCCCAACAGAGTCAGCTAACAAGAGCCAGCAGCAGCAGATGGAGCCAGAACTGGGCTCTGGATCCTTAGAATTAAGGATTCTCCTCCTGGGAAAACATGGTGTAGGGAAGAGTGCAACAGGCAACAGCATCCTGGGGAAGCGAGTGTTTGAGTCTAAATACAGCGATGAGCCAGTGACCAAAACTTGTAAGAAAGAAAGTGAAACTGTGGGAAAGAGGGAAGTTGTGGTCATCGATACCCCTGATATTTTCTCCACAAGGATCTGTGCTAGAGAGAGGGAACAAGAGGTCAGGAGATGCATCACCCTCTGCTCGCCAGGTCCCCACATTCTGCTCCTGGTGACATCTCTGAATTTTACCACAGTGGAAGATGAAGAGGTGGTGAAAGGTATTCAGAATATCTTTGGAGTTGAAGCTATGAGATACATGATGTTTCTTTTCACAAGGACAGAAGAGCTGGGGGGTGACTCACTTCTGGAGTACATTAAAGAAACTGACAATGAGCATCTCAAGAAGCTAGTTCTGAACCCTGGGGTCCAGTATTGTGGTTTCAACAACAAAGCAGGTGTGGCAGAACAGGATACTCAGGTTGGGAATCTCCTTGAACAGATTGAGTGGTTGATGCAGAAGAATGGCCAATCTTATGCACACTTTAATGCAAATATAGGGATTAAAGAAAATACTATAGACTCCAAAGCAGATGTGTTACCACGACTACCAAATGCCCAAGAATGTCAGGTAAGAGCCTGAATCTAAGAATTACATTGATCAACATGATCTTTTGCATTTTTATGATACTTTTTCTTTGTTTGTTTTCTTTAGTGAGGCAATTGAGGTTAAGTGACTTGCCCAGAGTTACACAGCTAGTGAATGTTTTGTGTCTGATGCCAGATTTGAACTCAGGTCCTCCTGACTTCAGGGCCAGTGCTCTATCCACTGTACCACCTAGCTGCCCTTTTATGATGCTTTTGATTCCAGAAAGGAGTAATGAGGTTGTGCATTTCCTTTTAGCACGGGAGCTAGAGCACATGTGCCATGGGAAGGGGCCACAGTGCACGTTCACATCCAAGGGAAGTGCTACATCTGTAATACAACCTTTTGGGAATTCATTCATTTAACAAGCATTTATAAAGCTGCTTCTATGTAGCTGACATTCTGCTAGGTTCTGGAAATACAGTGAAATAAACAAAACATTTTCTGCCCTCCAGGAGCTCACAGTTTAGTGGGTAGAAAGAACAGGCACACAGATAAGTATACAAAAAATACATACAATTAAGTACAAAGTTTCATTGGGGGAAGGTACTAAGGACTTGCAGGATCAAGAAAAGCCTTGTGTAGAGGTGGCAGTCTAGGTCAGACAGAGGGTGGTAAAAATCTAAAGCAGACAAGCCAGGATATGTCTTGAGGCCTGATTATGCTGGAACTGTGACTAAGAAGCTATATGAGCTAGTCATTTTCCCTCTCTAGGCCTTAGTTTACTGCTATGTAAAATGAGAGAGTTGGAATGGATTAGGCAGTGTCAGCAGTAACAGTAGTAGATGGGCTTAACAACTTACCGTCTTTCTGTTCAGGCCTTCTTGGGCTTTCTGAAGGGTCCAGATGTTCTGGCAGGCAGGTGCCTATTATTTCATCTCTGATGCAAAGTATCTGGGTCTACTTTCTGCTCTTTAGGAGGATCAACTCTTTGTCTTTAAAGAACGTTATTAATTTTCATTTCTGTTCTTGGAGGGAAGATGAATTTGGTGATTCACAAAGACTATTCCCTATCCTCCCTCTCTTATGTTTTCAGGGATTGGTGAATATAGGCAAGACCTATCGAAAGGAAGACAATGCATCCGGTAAGACCATGCCTCAATTTCTATTTTAACCCTTTAGAGTCTGATATGTTATGTCCATGTCTACGTAGCTCAAGACAAGAGAGATTTGGTTAGGAAGAAATAAGGAGGGCATGATAATGAGAGAAAATAGCATGAGAGCATGAGCAAAAGCAGAAGTGAGGAACATGTCATGAATGAGGACTGGACATAGTTACAAAGAGATCTATGTATGGAGACAGTGGGAGGAGCAACTCCAAGTGAATGAACTTCTGGAGAAGATTGACAAAATGGTGTATGAGAATGGAGACCAACTTTGTATCTTTTGGAAGTCTACCATTAGACCTGGTAGGAAAATGAAATATAGAAACTCTAGAGAATGGAGGCTGAGGGAATGTACACATTGAAGGAAATGTCCCCAAGTGAAGCCTTTTTCCTTCTTCTAACTTTTCACCAAACTTTTCTCTGTCATTACCCTCTTAGAATCTGTCTCCTATAGTTTGGCATTTCATTATATCCTGTTCTCTATTGTTTTGTAGTCATTTTTTTGTGGGTCAATCTAATTTCCCCAACTAGAGTCTAAACTCCTAGAGGGAAAGTTCATGGTCTCTACTCCTCTCAGTGCTCCACAGTAACTAGCCCAATGTATCCCATATAGAACCACTGATTAAACGTTGGAAGGGAGCATAGATCTCCATCTACCATGCTAAGTCTCTCATTTTGCAAGTGAGGAAAATGAAGCCCAGAGAGATTACTTAATCTCTCTGTAATTTGTTGTGAGTCACACAAACAGTAAGTGGCAAAGTCAAGATTTGTACTCAGGTCCTCAGATTCCACATCCTAGAGTCTTTGTACCCTACCACACTGTCTCTAATAATAGATTCTCAATAAACTCTGACTGGCTGAATCACTGTGATTTCTCTGAGTCCTCTTGCCAACTATTCCTCTAAGTTCTTCCGTTTCTCTTATGTCCAATTTCTTTTCCTGCTTCCTCACATCTTTCGTAGATTGGTTAGATCTTCTGACTCTGGGAGAAGGGTGAGAAGAAAGAGGCAGAAGGGCTTTAAGGAGGCCTTGACTCCAACAACCTTTTGCCAAGAGTCATTAGCTATACATAGTCTTAGACCCTAGGTGTTCACCAGGAACTGAATGAAGATTGTCCCCAACAGGGAGGTCAGCACTTTACCTTCAGGAAGTCTGTCTTTGGAATGGATGGAAAAAATTGCAGAGACTCTGGAGAAGAGAGAGAATCCCCACAGGAAAGAAGGGATGATGAGAAAGAATGTACACTCTAGGGCAAGGGATCTTAACCTTTTTTATATCATGGACTTTTTTGGTAGTCTGATGGAACCTATTGACCACTTCACATAATTTATAATAAACTACATAGGACTACCAAGGAAGATGATTAGATTGAAAAATAGCTCTCAAAATATTTTAAAAAATATTCACATATCCTAGATTAACAACTCCTGTTCTAGAGAGAAATGGCCAGATCTTTGTTTTTTCTTCAATATTTCTCAGTATCCTGGATCATATTTCTCACTCCCATGATTGAATTGAATGAAATCCTTTCCCTTCTCTGACTTCACTTTTCTCATCTTTCACATGTAAAATTTGGGTCTTATTTAACTCTAATAGTCCATATATCATATGACTTTTTGATCCACCAACATTGTATATTTTAATGACCTCAGTTTAGTTTGTGACCAGTCAAGCTTTATTCATCTCAATCTCTATCTGCTTTTTCTTCACACTTGCTCCTGACTAGGGCTAATTCTTTTCCAGTGGCTCTTAATTTGCTTGGGTAACTTCCAAAACAATTTTTTGTACACTTATCACATGCTCAATGCAATGTCAGTATTATAAGGGCACAAAATAAATATAGAGCATGGTCCCAGGCCTGAGGTCCATGTTGGGAGAGATAAAATACGCACAAAGAAAATAACATGCAGTAGAAGAGTAAAGTGCCATAACAGGAAACATAGATTATAAGTGTCATAAGGAGTCCTTAGAAAGGAACGATTACTACTGGTTTACTAGTTGGGAAAAGCTTAATGAAAGAAGCCTACTTAAAGTTATCATTAGGCCTCAAATGGTAGGTAGGATTTAGACAGAGTTGGGAGACTTTAGGAGGTAAATTCATTCAGAATCAGGGGATTCACATGAGCAGAGGTAGGTATCGCATTTTCAGGGGAACCACAGGAGTATTCCATGACCAGAGTGGAAGGATAGAATTTCTGAAGTAGCTATGCTGGATCTAAATCTTTGAAGAACTTGACTTTGGACTTCATTTGACATGCAAAAGAGTCATTTTAATTTCTAGGGCAGAAGAATGATTTGATGAAAGCAGTGTTTGAGAAAGAAATATTTTTCTATAACCTGAGTTTGACTATGATACAGTCAGGATGGGGACCAGTAACTACCACTACTACCACCACAACAACCACAATGACAATTTGCATTTAAAAGTGAAAAAATTGATAATCACTGGTTGCCTTTATGGTAGCTTCGAAATGATCTTCTAAAGATTCTACAAAAGAAATCAGTCTTAAGGAGACATTTAGTGGATGAGAAATAGGGCAAGCATGAGGAAAAACAGAAGAATGCATGCACAGAAAATTATTCATTTCTAAGTCCCAAAGCTCAAATAACTTAAACTTTCTTTTTCATTTATAGTGATAGTTTGCATTCATTATGACTTAAATGTATTATTAATTACCAAAGAATTTAATTTTATTTAGTACATTTGCATCTGAAGTACTTCTTAGAGCATTTTAGTTTTAGAGAACTGAGAATTCTTTAATAAGACACACATTCATATAATCACCATCATGTTGTCAAAGAAAAACATGAATACCGTACTCTATGTTTTAGGCACATCTCTGCAAGAAACAATTTCATTTAACACTCATCTAAATCCAAGCCTTTCTAACTTAGAGAAAGAAAAGTCCAAACTGTCATAGTTTCTTCCCTCTCCCACATCCCCATCTCCTTTGACATTATTCTATTCCAAGAAAATTGAGGTGACATTTATAGAAATTTTGAACACGGAAAATGTCACAAAATGACAAAACACTGTTTTGGGATCTACATTCTACCTCATCTAATGGACCAAGGGTGATTTAATCTTTTGGAATTACCCTGGAGAACCTTCCTCAGACCCTATTCCCAGGCTCTTAGCCTTTGACCTTTGTAGATATATTATCAAAGGGAAATGTCTAGAAAGCATTTTGGATCAGGGAAAATATTATACCTTAATATTTTCAACTGAACTAAAAAGGAGTCTTTAAATCTGCATCCATAAAGTAAATCAGGACACCAGCGTACCCTAGATATCATTGTCCCATCCATTCTTTCACATGGAATATATGTGATTATAACCAAACACCATCATGATGGGGTCAGCCATACTGATTATCAAAATCTGCTGTAAAGCTGTTTAGTCAGTTGTCTAAGATGCCAATCATCTCTGTGGAATTTACTAACCATATAATGCTGTCTCCCCTGATTATATTGGGTGAGTCAGTCAATAAGCATTTATTAATTGCCTACAACGGCCAGGCATTGTGCTAAGCACTGGGGATATATAGAGGTGGAAGACATCCCGTGCCATCAAGGAATTAATAATCCAATGATAGCTCACATTGGGTGAGGTATAAGACAGATCAGAGATTTTCATGATGGAGAGGGAGTAGTGCAGGGATTAAAGGGATGGGAAGAGTCATCTTGACTTCTCATAGTTCAACTGTTAACTAGAACAATGACAGCTGCTTGGCTTTTGTTTTTCAGTATAAATTGACTAAAGGCGACAGAGGAAAGGAATGTTTATGTCCTTCAGAATTCTGACCCTCTCATTTTCATGTTGGTACTTTCCAGGCCCAGTGGTGCCGAGAGAGCTGAGGCTCATCCTTGTAGGGAAGACAGGAAGTGGGAAGAGTGCAACTGGAAATAGCATCCTTGGCAAGAAAGTCTTTAAGTCTAAGCTCAGTTCCAGGCCAGTGACTGAGAGCTGCCAAAGAGAGAGCAGGGAATGGCATGGAAGAACACTTGTTGTCATTGACACCCCAGATATCTTTTCCTCCAGTGCCAAAACAAAAAGAGATCTGGAGATCTGTCGCTGCATGGTCCTCTCTTCCCCAGGGCCTCATGCCCTACTCTTGGTGATGCAGTTGGGCCGTTACACCAATGAGGACAAGGAGGCCCTCAGGAGCATCCAGGAGATATTTGGAGTAGGAATCTTGTCTCACACCATCATTGTTTTCACCAGGAAAGAAGATTTAGGGAAGGAAACCCTGAAGGAATACTTAAAAGAAACAAAGAACAAAAGCTTGAGGTGGCTGAATGAGGTGTGTGAAGGATTTCACTGTGGTTTCAACAACAAACTTGAAGGGGAGGGACAAGAGGCCCAGTTAAAGGAAATGATGGAGATGATAGAAGGGGTTGTCAGGAAAAATGACTTGCGCTGCTACTCTAGTGAGGTGTATGACTATATCCAGGAAAATATTCAGCAGTTAAGAGAGGAGCTGGGAGAAGAGCCAATAGGCCAGGGGGAGGGTCCTAAGGGAGCTTTCTGTAAAGAGAATATAGCATCAAAGGAGGCAGATCAGACCTGCTCTGCCCTAGAAAGTCTGATGGTCATTCAGAGGAAATATGAGCAGCATCAAGAATCAGTGCTGAAGAAAGAGTCGGGGACCCCTTGGGTGATTGGAAACGCATATTGGGGTGCTTTCAGGAGGAGTTTCCCTGTCAGGTTCCTTTTTAGTCTTTTTCTGTCTCTTCTGTCAGCCATGGGCTGGCTGACTGGACTTAGGCACATGATAGGGAGAATGGAAGCCAGAGCTAGGAGTCTGAAAGTTCCAACTGCCAATCCTAGCTCTGCCACTGACTAGTTCTACGGCTTGAACAAGTCACTTTATCTGGTGCAACCATCTCCTTTGGTAAATGAGAAAACAAGTCCAGAGAGGTGATCTCTGTGATCCCTTCCAGCTCTTCTCTCCTAGGATGTCAAGCCATTGGCAACTGTCTCCAGGAGGCTGTGATCCCACTGCTCTAACATAGATGGGAAAAAATTACAATCAGTGTAGATTCCTTTAAAGTGGTATCATTAGAGTCCCTGAAACTACTGGCTTGTGTCATAGAGGGAATTCCTTAAAGATACAGCATGCAGTAGATGGCCTCTGAGTCCCTTCTAAATCTGAGATTCTGTGAACCCCATTTTATAGATGGTGAAACTGAGGTTCAATGAAAGATAAAGAGATCTCTAAAAGTCTTAAGGTGAATCCAAGACAGTGTCTTTTTGAAGCTAGATCAACTAACTCTTGTCAAAATTCTTCATTATATCCATCCCACCTTTCACCTCCCCTCTCCAACCCTGGCTATAGATGTATTACGTCCCCAAAAGCAGGTAGCATTGGCATAGAAATGCACCCACCCAGCATTTCAAGAATGTGACAGTACAAGTCCTTTCATATTCTCTTTATAGAAAGGGAGGAAAGCAAGGAGAAAAGTGCCACAAACAAGGAACTCACTCAGGGACCTGCCCACTTGGACCGTGCCACCTAAACACAACTACAAACCTCATTCCTTAGTCTCACTTCACACCCACACTCTCTTCAATTCACAAAAATTATGACTGGTTCTTCCCAAAACATATGATCTCCTTTCTTATTGTCTGTTGCTTTTAACTATCTTGGCTACATTGTCTAGTCAAAGGGGCTGAGCCTAATGGGATCACAAAATTATAGAATCTCTGAGCTGAAAGGGCCCTCAGAGGTGATCTACATTTAACCATAGCTGGATAGACACCTCCTCTACAATATCCCTAGAAACAGTCATCTAGTCTTCACTTGAAGACCAATAGCTGTGGGGATCTCATCTATCTATTAAAACACCTTATACTTATACTTTGGGCCATATAAGAGGAATCCAGGCTTTACTAGGAGAAGCTTTCAACTTCTACCCTACTCTTGAATGGTTTTTGAGGTTTATTAAAGCTTGAAAGAAAATTTAATAGCCTGGAGCTAGTTACCAGGTAGGAAAATGAGAATTGAAAGGATAAATGAAAAAAAAAAAGTGTCTGCCTTTGTCCTCAGCCTCAAAGAGACCCAGTGGGATATGCTGACAATGCATAGGGGCATCTTATCTGTACTTTCATTTAGAGAAAAGGCAAGGAGAATTCAGTCACCCTAACTCAGCTACAAATAAGGAGTAGAAACTTTCTAAAGACAGGGCTGAGAAAGAGAATGCGTAGCTTCCATTTTGTTCTCCAGCTAGAGGATCTGTGAGGTAGATCAAAGACAGAAGTGAAAATATGGTGATTACCCTTGACCTATGTGGCCCATGCCATCTCACTGTAAGGGTGTAATGGCACTACTTAAAGTAGCAGTAGTGGCTGAAGCATTTAGAAGGAGGACAATCATGCTTTGGCCAGGAACAATTTAGAAGGCAGGTGACAGCAGCAACACAATACAGTTTTAATGACTGGTATACATATAGTTTAAAAACAACACATGACACTTTCAGAATTGGAAAACTTCAGATAAGGGGGAGGACCTTGGCAGATAACAATGGCAGAGTCAAAAAGCAGTGGCAAAAAATGGAGTTTGAATGGATGATGTTTTCAGAGGCAGAGATGAGTAAGCAGTGGCTAAGCACTGGGATGGGAGACTGAGAAAACAGCATCAGTAAAGCTTAGCCAGTTGCTGAGAAAATGGAGCTATAAGAATTTAAGCAGGAGAGCTTTGTTAGCCATGAATCAAGGCTAATTGCATTGAAGTCCTTCCTCACTTCGAAGTTATCCTGAAAATTGGTTTCCTTTGCTAATGACACGAGTGTTGGAAATTGTACTTATTTGTATAATGGGATTCATGCCAATTTGTATAGGGCCTGAGAATCATCCTTCCACGTGTCTTTCCCCTTTGTTGATATTTTGCTGTACTGTTTCAATTAAATACTTTTCTATCGGATAAATAGTTCCTGCTTGGTCTATGTGTAGAGTAAGCACGTGATGGGGTTCAATCTCTTTTCTTTCTCTCATTTACCCAAATAGCATGTGATTTTAAAGTTGAGTGAGATAGTAACTATAGACAGCTTAAGCAACTGGCCATTTCTGCAATTGTTCCAATTGTTTTAAAAGAGGGGAAAAAAGCCCTTAAGAATTCTGTAGTTATTTTGGTGAATAGTCATTAAGTTTATTTTGACGTCACCAAAATGATGACACAATTCTTAAAATTTTTTCCCCTGAAACATGCTGCAATTTAAAAACTTTCAATACATTCAAAGACAGGAGGTCAGCCAGGCTTATAAGTCAAGGTTGGATCATTCACACATTAATCCTGGAAAAACAGGGGTCTAGGGCACAAGTGCATGTGGAGTTGGCCAACTAAATTAGTAACCTTCACATATTTTCAAATAAATAAACCTATATTTTTATTTACTGTGATAGCAATGGCTAGTCTTATATGTAGACTGAGTAGATGCATACCTAAACATATGATTTCAGAGACGTGAAGAACTTCAAGTCTCTCCCGCCCCCACCAGAAAATACTACCCCCAAATTTTGTTTTCTGTACTTGAAATCTCACAAATGGAGTTTGATTTGGTCTAAAATTGTGTCCCTTGTTCAGTTTCCTCATCTAGGGAGAACAATATCACTACTCCCTTTTTGGTGGCTTACCTGGCTGGCAATGATAGTTCTAGAAGAAACCTAGAAATTATTGCTAGGTATGGAGGAAGTCCCGGGCAAGAAATCAAATACTTTGGGAACACACCCTTCTAAAAGTCCCTCCCTTATCCTATCCTCTTGCCCTCTTATTTCTTTCTAAATTTAGGAGACTTTTACACCCTTCTAGGTGTATATGTTGTTCCCTCTTTAACCTATTTTGGATGAGAGTAAGGTTCCAGCTCTACGAACTCACCCCTTGCTTCTTCTATATCAAGTTTTCCTTTCGTGCCTCATTGGTATGAGATAATTATCCCTTTTTATATTTCTCTACACAGTTTTATTTTTTAGAATCACCCCATCATTCACAACTCAACCCATGCCTTTCTTTCAAACTACCTAAATGATGATATTCTTTATTAATTTATTTATTTTTAGTTTTCAGCATTCACTTCCACAAGATTTTGAGTTCCAAATTTTCTCCCCATCTCTCCCCTCCCCCCAAGACAGAGTGCATTCTGAATACTCCTTCCCCAAATCTGCCCTCCCTTCTATCACCCTCTCCCACTCCTTATCCCCTTCCCCTTCTATTTTCCTGTAGGGCAGGATAGATTTCTATATCCCTTTGCCTGTATATCCTATTTCTCAGTTGCATGTAAAAACAATTTTTAACATTTGTTTTTAAAACATTGAGTTCCAACTTCTCTTCCTTCTTCCCTCCCCATAAGAAGGCAAGCAATTTGATAAAGGTTATACATGTGTAGTCATGCAAAACACTTCCATAATAGTCATGTTGTGAAAGACTAACTATATTTCCCTCCATCCTATCCTGCCCCTCCATTTTTTCTGTTCTCTACTTTGACCCTGTCCCTCCTTAAAAATGTTTTCTTCTGATTACCCCTTCCCCCAATAAGCCCCCACCCCCGCTTCTATCATCCCTCCCCTTTTATTCCTTCCCTCCCATTTTCCTGTAAGATAAGATAGATTTCCATACCCAATTGGGTGTGCATGTTATTCCCTCTTTAAGCCAAATCCAATGACAGTAAGATTCACTCATTCCTTCTCACCTCCCTCCTCTTCCCCTCCATTACAAAAGCTTTTTCTTGCCTCTTATGTGAGATAATTTACTCCATTCTACCTCTCCATTTCTCCTTCTTCCATTACAATCCTCTTTCTTACCTCTTAATTTTATTTTTTAGATATCATCCTTTCATATTCAACTCACCCTGTGCCCTCTGTGTATATATATATATACACATATATATGTGATGTATATGTATGTATGTATATGTATATATATATTCCCTTCAACTACCCTAATATTGAGAAAGGTCTCATGAGTTACAAATATACATCTTAGGAATGTAAGTAGTTCAACTTTAATAAGTCCATTATTATTTCTCTTTCTCGTTTACTTTTTCTTGCTTCTCTTGAGTCTTGTATTTGAAAGTCAAATTTTCTTTCAGCTCTAGTCTTTTCATCAAGAATGCTTGAAAGTCCTCTATCTCACTGAATGTCCATTTTTCCCACTGAAAGATTATACTCAGTTTTGCTGGGGAGGTAATTCTTGGTTTTAATCTTAGCTACTTTGACCTCCAAAATATCATATTCTAAGCCCTCCAAATCTTTAATGTAGAAATTGCTAAATCTTGTGTTATTCTTATTGTGTTTCAAACAATACTTGAATTGTTTCTTTCTGGCTGCTTGCAATATTTTCTTTTTGACCTGGGAACTCTGGAATTTGGCTATAATACTCCTAGGAGTTTTCCTTTGAGGATCTCTTTCAGGAAGTGATTGGTGGAATCTTTCAACTTCTATTTTACCCTCTGGTTCTAGAGTATCAGGGCAGTTTTCCTTGATAATTTCTTGAAAGATGATTCTAGGCTCTTTTTTGATCATGGCTTTCAGGTAGTCCAATAATTTTTAAATTATCTCTCCTGGATCTATTTTCCAGGTCAGTTGTTTTTCCAATGAGGTATTTCACATTGTCTTCTATTCTTTCATTCTCTGGTTTTGTTTTATAATTTCTTGATTTCTCATAGAGTCATTAACTTCCATTCGCTCCATTCTAATTTTTAAGGAAGCATTTTCTTCAGTGGGCTTTTGAACCTCCTTTTCTATTTGACCAATTCTGCTTTTTAAGGCATTCTTCTCTTCATTGGCTTTTTGGATTTCTTTTGCCATTTGGGTTAGTCTACCACCCAGGACTGCTACCTAGCTCCAAGCATGAGCAAAGCAAGAGAATCCTGTCTCAGCACCAGCAAAGAGATCTCTGCAATCCCCCTTTGATCAGCTGCTTGATTAACCCACTGTCTGTGGGCCAAGAGCTCCAGAAGCAGCCACTGCCACTGTGGCCACCACTCCAGGGCTGCACTAAGGCTGGGGCTGGACTGCCAGATCTTTCCCAATGATCTTATAAGTTGTCTTAGGTGTTTGTGGGTTGAGAAGTCTGGAAACTGCCACAGCTTCCCTTGATTCAGTCTCCTGAGGCCTAGGATTTGCTGTGGGCCCGTCTTTGCCTTCGCAGCTCCTTTCCCAGCCTAGTACAACAGACCTTTCCTATCAACTGTCCAGGTTATCTTGGACTCGGAATTTGTTTCACTCTGTCTTTTTGTGGGTTCTGCTGCTCTAGAATTTGTTTACAGTCATTTTTTACAAGTATTCCAAGGGATTTGGGGGAGAGCTCAAGCAAATCACTGCTTTTGCTCTGTCATCTTGGTTTGGTCCCCTAATGATGACATTCTTAGTAGTACCAACAACATTTTCACATATAAGAAGTAAGTAGTTTGGCCTTATTGAGTCCTTTATAATTGGTCTTTATTGTTTACCTTATATTTCTCCTGGATCTTATATGGTGAATTTTCCATTAAGTTCTGCTCTTTTTGTCACAAATACCTGAAAGTCTTCCAATTCTTTCAATATCCATTTTTTTCATTCAGGATTATACTTAACTTTGCTGGGTAAGTTATCCTTGGTTATATCCTAGCTCTTTTGCACTATGAAATGCAGTGTTTTAAGACATATGATTCTTCAGTGTAGAAGCTGCTAGGTCTTGTGTAATCCTGATTGTAGCTCTGTGATATCAAAATTTTTTTCTTGCTGCTTTCAATATTTTCTCCTTAACCTGGGAGCTTTGAAACTTGCCTATGATATTCCTTTAAGTTTTCCTCCTGGGATCTGTTTCAGGTGGTAATCAGTGGATTTTTGCTATTCCTGCTTTACCTTCTTTTTCTTTTTTTTTTTTTTGGTGGGGCAATGGGGGTTAAGTGACTTGCCCAGGGTCACACAGCTAGTCAGTGTCAAGTGTTTGAGTCCACAGCTAGTAAGTGTCAAATGTCTGAGGCTGGATTTGAACTCAGGTCTTTCTGACTCTAAGACCAAAGCTTTATCCACTGCACCACCCAGCTGCTCCCTTCTGCTTTACCTTCTCGTTCTAGAA